TATAGCCAACGGCGATGCTACAACTGACTCCAAGAGCGAAGGTACCTCTGGACGGTCCGGTAGGAGCGGCCGTTCGAGCTCATCCCGATTGAGCCGGAGTGAGCTCCCTCCCCTTAAGACGGATGCGACAGACATCTCCACTTCCGAGTCAGCGCTTGCAGAGTCGGCCGTTGGAGACGACCAACCCCCGCCGTCTCCCGTCCAGGGCCACTCCAAGGGCGGCGCCCACGACGTGAGCGCGGCTCAGGCTTCCGGCGAGGTTGATCATGTCTCGGATCAGCCTCCGTCGGTCAACGCGGGTGCGAATGCGCACATGCAGAACCCAGGCCAGTCGATCCTGGTGAAGCGGGAAAACACCATCAACCCTATCAACAATGGCCCCTCTGCAGATTCCAAGGAGGGCAACTCCAATGTTGCCATGTCAGACATCAAGGATATTGACCTTGATGATTTTATAAAGCGACTCTTGGATGCGGGCTACGCTGGAAAGGTTACCAAGAGTGTCTGCCTTAAGAATGCCGAAATTGTCGCCATTTGTCAGAGGGCTCGGGAAGTCTTCCTCTCTCAACCTGCGCTCCTGGAATTGGATGCCCCCGTCAAGGTTGTGGGAGATGTCCACGGCCAATACACGGATGTTATCAGGATGTTTGAGATGTGCGGATTCCCACCAAACTCCAACTACCTATTCCTGGGCGACTATGTCGATCGAGGCAAGCAATCCCTGGAGACGATCCTTCTACTCCTATGCTATAAGCTCAAGTTCCCCGAGAACGTCTTCCTCCTCCGCGGAAACCACGAGTGCGCTAATGTCACACGAGTGTACGGATTTTACGATGAGTGCAAGAGGCGCTGCAACGTCAAGATCTGGAAGACATTCATCGACTGCTTCAACACACTCCCCATTGCTGCTATCGTTGCTGGCAAGATCTTTTGTGTCCACGGAGGCCTATCGCCGGCGCTGGTCCACATGGACGATATTCGAAACATTGCTCGACCAACAGATGTCCCCGACTACGGCCTGCTCAACGATTTGCTATGGTCAGACCCAGCAGACATGGAGCAGGATTGGGAAGCCAACGAGAGGGGCGTCAGTTACTGTTTTGGAAAACGCGTCATCACCGAGTTTCTGGCGGATCACGACTTTGATCTCATCTGTCGCGCGCACATGGTGGTCGAGGACGGGTACGAATTCTTTAACGACCGGGTTTTGGTTACCGTCTTTAGCGCCCCCAATGTACGTCAGCCTCTGCAGGACTACGGATAATCGGCTAACTTGTGTGCAGTACTGCGGCGAATTCGACAACTGGGGCGCAGTCATGTCTGTGTCTGCGGAGCTCCTTTGCAGCTTTGAGCTGTTGAAGCCTCTTGACTCGAGCGCTTTAAAGAGTCATATCAAGAAGAGCCGGAACAAGCGGCAGCATATGTTGAACAGTCCGGTAAGTAATACATGTCCGCTGCATGAGATGTCACATCTGACCTTTTATAGCCTGCCTTGGTCCAGCCGCAGAGCGTGTAATGGGGGGCGATATGCAGCCACGAACACGAAGCACCGAGTCGTTTTAATATTAACTGCCCTCTATTGGGGGACATTCATTCACAAACACAAAGGCGGCAGGTCTCCGAGGGCAACCCGGAACAGCCAGTTTCGCCATATTTGAAACAGAAACAACAACAACAACAACGCAAACAGAGCAACGCCCAGGGCACTTTGGGGTGTAAACAGCGTCGACGATGTGGTTTCGGGTGCCGAGAGCAAGGACATTCAGCACGAAAGCGGCCATTGTGCCCACGGTGTGATAGCCGTGTTGAGGTGGTCGATATCGACCTCTGCTCTCTCCGAGTGGCGGACGTAACTGTCCTAACCAGCGGACCAGAAATGGTCAACTCGGCACCTGATCCTTTCCGCACAGCGCCGCTCAAGCATGCCGTCTGGAGTTTGGATGGGTTGATCTTGGTACGCCTGGAGGCGTCATGTATAGGTAGCGGAGCGGAGCGGAGTGGAATGAGGAGGAGATGGGATTCGGGCCTCATAGAAGGAGCCATGCCTGGGACTTGGTTTGCATGATCGAAATATGGATCTTGCGGTATGCTTAGTGATATGGGATTGAGTAGACAGCCAGTCCTATGTACCTACAATACTGTTTTCACTACCTAAATGCGTGTTTATTGAGATGAAATATTGAGATTGGACGAAATTGCCCATGTCTGTCAATCAGTGGATCTATGTTGCTTTTGAAGAGCGTAAATGATTGGTCAATGGCTGCGCCTATTAAATTCAATGGCTTAGTCACCCCACCCTTGGCAGAAAATTGGATATGGATGTTCAAGCGGCATCTCACAGCCAGCTTCACCACATCAGACGACCACAAAGCAACAATGCACCGTCACGCTTTCCGTTCGGTGTGCAGCCGGACAAGGCCAGAGCTCGAGCAGGCCTCTGACGCTCTCCGAACTTGCATCCGCCAATTCTCGACGACACAATTGCAGGCCGCCAACCCTCCCAATGGCCCCGGCAACCTGAACAGACCTGCTGCCCCGGCCGGCGCTCCCAAGGTTCTCAACGTGACGAGCTTGCCTCTCCGAGGAAGAGGAGGATTCCGCGGACGTGGTGCACTTCGTGGACGAGGAGGATTCCCTGGAAGGGGAGGATCTTCAGCTGGTGGTCCACCACGGTCATCTTTCCCCGTTCGCGGAGGCGGTTTCCGTGGTAGGGGAGGTGGCAGAGGAGGTGCCCGAGGTCGAGGTCGGGGAGGCAAGAAGGACGTTCGAAAGCGAGACGGTGACGACAAGGAAAAGGCGAGGGGACGTGGTGACAAGTACTCGACCCTGGATCCCGACGAGCAACACTTTGACGACGCGATGCGATATGGCTTGCAAACCGAGTACACACCCTCGCTGACTCTCGAGTCCCTCGCCGACTTTGCGCCCGCCGTGCCGGGCTCCGCCGCCGGAAACTCGGCCACCGTCCTCCAGAACCTCAGTGTCCTCGGCACGGCTGATCACGTCGGTGCCCCGCAAGCCTTCCAGGCCCGCCACTACGCCTCCGAGGTCCAAGCCGACGGACTGCGCTTCTTTGCCGACGCCGAAGCTAAGAAGGCTGCCGAGAAGTACATCCAGGACAAGATCCAGGCCGAGGGCGGAGAGTCCAAGGGCCCCGTCATTTCGGACGCTGAGGAGGCCGTCCGCAAGGTCATTACAGAAAAGGCCGTCAGCGGACAGCACGAGACGCCCAAGTTTGCGACCGACCCCGTGGGCGTGTCTCGCTCGTGGCACCTCCGAGCCGAGACGTACACGACCAGCGATGTCAACTCTTTCGAGAAGAAGCTGACATCGCTGTTGGTCAAGAAGGGAGGCAATGGGAAGCAAGCACGAGCTTAGAGTGATCAACGACGGAAGAAAAAAAAGAAGATCAGTGTACACTTTGTCATGATATGTAATACTAGTACAATGTCCCACACACTCTCGCACGCCTGATGACAGGCATATATGATGATACACACACAAGGCTCCTCTTTAAATCTACAACTGGCGAATGGTCTGGGCCTCCTCTTGATCAATCTCCTTCATCTTCTTATCCTGAACCTTTTGCAGCTCCTTCTCAGCCTTGTTGACCAAGTCAGGCAGCACGGCACCCGTCTTCCTCCAGCCCTTGAGCACCCTCTCATGCCTGGACCTCACCTGTCGCACACGATCTTTCCACAGCTGCACGGCCTCCTTGATGCGGCGAACAACGTCGTCCTTGCGCTCCAGCTCGATCTTGAGTAGTAGCTCGAGCTCGTTGTCCTCGGACCGCTGCGGCTGCTGGTTGAACTCGCGGCTCGACTGCACCGCCGACATGATGGGCTTGATGTAGGCCTTGTCGTGCACCAGCAGTGAGATGGTCCGGCCCGAGCGGGGAACCACCTGCGCGAGCTCCCGCAGAGGGAAGGATCCATCTCCGGCCTCGGGGTCCTTGACGGCCACTGGGAGGGAGCCTAGGTTTGTCGGGTTGAAGCGTCCGCCGTGAACCATGCCCGCCAGCTGCGTCTTGTAACGGGCATCGATCGGTACGAACGCCGCTACCACGGAGCTAAAGTCGAGAGGGTCCTCCGGGTTAGGCTGAGCGCCGCTGCCAGCCTCTGTGTCGTTCTCGGCCTTGTTAACAGACCCGGCCGCGGCCTTGGGGTTGGGGCTGTTGTTCGCGGCCGCGACCTTGCGCTTCTTGAAGAGGGCAGGAGAGCTTGAGAAGTAGCGGGGGATGGGCTGAGCGGCAGCTATCGAGGCAATCGGTCGACGAGAGAGGGTCTGAAGGGAGCATCTGGCCCATGATCAGTCAGTTTGTCGTCGCAAGTTTTGCTTCAAGACCTACCCCTCCGAAGACGCCAATTGGCGCAGGCAGTTCCTCACGGGTCCATGAGCTCGCGATAGTGCCATTGTCTCGTGTATGTGCTGTGTAAAATGGTAGAATGGGTAAAGTCAATGTCTGTCGAGGTCTAGTTCCAGAGCTTCAACGTCAGATCAGTTGCAGGTTTCACACGGTCGTTGGTGGCTGATAAGATAAGGGTCGTTCGTTGAATTATGAGGGGTTCTATTGGTGCAGCATAACTCTTGGCTCTGCTCTCTCGATCTGTGAGGTCTCTGTAGAGGAGTAGAGTTTGAATATTTAAAGGAATACTAGAGAAGTAAATGGATTTACAGTCAGGATGAAATATTTGAGTTCTTAAGGGTAGTATGGCTTGTTGTATTTCATCCATTGTCACAGAGTCTTTGTAGCTACCTACCTATGTAGGTAGCTATTATAGGTAGGACAGCCGAGCTGCTATTATGGTCGAGCAAACGCTAGCTACGTGTTAGCCTTTTCGAATAGTATTCTAAGAATTCAATTCAAGCTACCATTCCCTCTATTTCTCCTAATTCCCTATCTAGAGAGAATAGCAAATAGTTGACCCTTCCCTGCCCTGCCCTGCCGTCCTGGCAGCGTCACACTTGAGTCCTTTTAGAAACTCTCGTCACCATCAATTGGTCGTGTGGTGTAGTGGTATCACATTGGTCTTACAGAGGAACATCCTCTAGAACACCACAGGTCGTAGGTTCGAACCCTGCCACGATCAATCTTTTTGACTTGAAAAGCACCTTGTCAATTCTCTTTTTTTGTCTTGGTCTAGATTCTCTTCACGTGCGCCTCTTGTAGGCAGACGATCCCGTCACTTGCTGGAAGCCCATGACTTCTCATGGCTTGGGTCATAGGGCTTCAGGGGGTAGACACTTCATTTTGACCGTCATGCAAGGGTTGATGATACATACGCCAATAATAATTCCCTCGTCGAGACCCTTTTAACACAGTTCATGGGTCATCGTGATTTGGAGGTTCGCATCCGTCACCCGGTTGTACTCTTTTGACCGACTCCCCTCCATCAGATATCCAACGACACCGCCTTACAAGGTATCCCCTTGCTCAAAAACCAAGACAATGACCGAAACAACTTTCACATCCGCGGAGATGTACAGAAATGTGGGTTCAATATGTCTAAAACATTTGAGATACCGTAGTTCTAGATGTTGTGTTTGCTTCGCCTATCGGGTTCTGTACCCGACTCACCACATGCCTGGCTTCAGATGTCTTGGGCAAGTCTCATCCTGGAGAAGAGATTACAAGGAAGGATGATCAAAAAGACTTTCACATGTAATAGAAGAGGCAAATTTCAGGATGTTTTGACGTTCGCTGGTGACAGCTCCGTTCTTCCCCCTATAGTTATCCTATCTTGATCATGCTGTGCATCCCATCTCATGACTGGAGAGCCTTGCCCATTCCTCCATATGTAATCATCTTGGTGATCTGGTACTCGGAAATACCGTACAGTGATCCCTCGCGACCGAAACCACTCTCCTTGACGCCACCAAAGGGTGCAGCAGGGTCCGAGATGATACCCGTGTTAACGCCCACCATGCCCACTTCGAGGGCCTCGGCAATGCGGTGCACTCGCTCGAGATCGCGGGAGAAGAAGTAACCAGCCAGTCCGACTTCGGTGTTGTTGGCCATCTTAACCACCTCTTCCTCCGTCTCGAAGGGGAAGAGACCAGCCACAGGTCCAAATGTCTCCTGCGACGCCATGTCCATGTCAGATGTCATATCTCGAATAACGGTAGGTGCGTAAAAGTTTGAGCCCAGGTCGTCAAGTCTTTGACCTCCGATTGTGACCTTGCCACCCTTCTTCTCGGCATCCTTGACATGATCCTCGGCCTTTTGGACTGCGCGATCGTGGATCAGAGGTCCATGTGTGACACCCTGCTCAAAACCATTGCCCACACTAAATGTCTTGACCTTTTCGGTAAACTTCTTAACAAATTCGTCATAGATACCACGCTGGACGTAGATGCGGTTGGCACACACGCACGTCTGTCCTGAAGATCGGAACTTGGACGAAATAGCTCCAGCAACGGCAGCATCGACGTCAGCGTCATCAAAGACGATGAACGGGGCGTTGCCGCCGAGCTCCATCGAGAGCTTCTTGAGAGTACCGGACGATTGCTTCATAAGGAGCTTACCAACTCCAGTGGACCCAGTAAAGGAGATCTTTTTGATAGTAGGATCAGAAGTAAGAAGCTCGCCGAGCTCGGGAGTATTCTCCATAGAAGTTACCACATTAACGACGCCCTTGGGGATACCTGCCCTGTGAGCCAGCTCGGCCAGGGCCAGAGATGTAAATGGCGTCTCGGCGGGGGCCTTGCAGACAACTGTGCAACCCGCTGCCAGCGCAGGTCCAATCTTTCGAGTGATCATAGCCGCAGGGAAGTTCCATCTAATGACTAGTCAACACCTTGTATCTGCAGGGGCTCAATCACTTACGGTGTAATCAAACCGCACACTCCCACAGGTTCCTTGATGGTCCATACCCGGTTTCCAGGGACGGAGCTGGGAATAGTGTCACCATACACTCGTGGGGCTTCCTCGCTAAACCATTCGAGAAAGTTGGCGGCGTAGGTAGTCTCTCCCTTAGCATCAGCAATAGGCTTTCCATTCTCCCAGGTAATAAGTTTGGCGATATCCTCAGCATTGGCGGTCATCTGCTCATACCATGCGCGCAACAACTTGGAGCGCTCACGACCCGTCTTGGAACGGAAAGAAGGGAAAGCATCAGCGGCGGCTCGAATAGCCGACTGGGTGTCCTCTGCGTTGAACTCGGGACAGGTTCCGATAAGCTCGCCGTTTGATGGATCTAGACGCCATGTCAGATTTCACAGATAAGTCGCGAGACTATGTCATTGAAGCTTACCGTTCACCTTGAACGTCTTGCCCGACTTGGCCTTGACCCATTCGCCGTTGACATAGCAGACATCCTGCTTCAGAAGGGATGGGTCCTTAAGCTGAACGAGTGTTAGCGAGGCTATAGAAACTCACCCGCGGGCTTATCGTACCTTGGGAGGCGCCATGTTGGAAGCTCTCCGAGTGATCATCAAAGCAATGGCTGGAGACTGTCGCAGCGCACCTCGCGAAGAGGGAGCAACTAAGCGTTGAAGCAGAGCCATGACGGGCGACAAGCAAAGGCAGTACTTAAAGCACGAGGAGTAGAGTTTGCCACTACAAGAACCAATTGATAACAGACGACGAACTGACGACACAAGAAAAAATATGTCCCCCGTCGTGACCTGTCCCGAATGTTGATGGTGGAAGGGAATGACGGTTGTGATTGCGGGGTGACGTCTTTTACGTAGGAAGCATCATCCCCAAGCTCTACCTACCTGTGCTTGTGTGGGGCACGACTGCCGGAGCCGGGAACTGCTACCGGTCGGCACCGGCAAGGCAAGTGCCATTGGATCCGATCTATACATTGCGGAGGCCGAAGACGGCACCCCGAAGGCGGGGGAAGCTCAGGCCGTTACCGGCACGGTAGGTAGGTATCATGGCAGGGTCTGTTATGTAGATATACATTGTCAAGTCAACATGAGGTACAAAGCTCTACCCTACCGGCTCACATCTTACGGAATGAGGTCATCATCAATACTCTCCTTCACCTTTATCTATCTCTTAGACTCGACGAGTGGAGTATGTATCAAGCCGGGTCTCACCCGACCTGCCCATTCAGGTAGCGGCAGGTTAACCGACAAAATAGGCAAGTTTACGCCAAGTATTGAGCTTTGGTAACTTGTAATTACTCTCATGTATCCATCCGTATACTATATATATCGGTGACATGTTAAAGACAGAACCTGGTTGTGGCTCATTTGGCCCAACCTTGTGTTTCATGGTATATCATCCAAAACTCCAAACACCAAATGCTATCCATATCCAAGGAAAATTTCACCCATCCTCCCGTGTGTGTACATGTCATGAACCTGCGTCTCCCAGAAACGAGGTCCTTTTTCAACTCTTGGCCATACATTCATTCATGTCCTATGCAAACCGGGTCTGCTGGGACCGCAGTGGCAGTTGGCGATCCAATGTGTGAAAGGCCTGCGTCCTGGGCGTAAAAGGCATGGCCCGGGCGCTGGTGGGCGTCTTCATGTTGTGCATCTCCCAAACACCGTGTCCCTCTTTGGGTTCCGAGGGCGTGGATTCCACTTCGTCGTCATCGTCCTCGGGAATATCGTTAATCTTGTTGGGGCACATAGCATAAATAGAAAAGGCCAGGTTGGCCACGTAAACCAGGCTATTCAACTTGTCAGTAACTGCAATCCCGTGCCTAGGAGATGGTGACTTGACTTACAGCAACCAGAGTGTCACCACAAGCTGACCGTGAGCGATCTTGCAGGCCTTGTACTTGCCGTATGGCTTGGCAAGGCCACAACCATACCGCCAGTACCAGGCGGCTGGAGCAGGATGTTTCGGATCGGCATAATCGGGTCCAATCTGTCCGTAGACGCTCACGGTGTAAAGGGTAACCATGCTGATGTTGATGAAGGTGGCCAGGATCGGATACCAGACCTTCATGATGAAGGCGGTAAGCTTGCTGAGGAGGAAGAACAGTGAAATGACGGCAATGGCCACATTGAAGTCGGTGAATCTGCTCCGTCTCAGTCAATGCTATTGCGTGCAAATAATCCGGGAGTTAACTCACGTGCGAGTCCAGATGAGGGCGATCTTGGGTAGCGGCTTATAGTTGGCGTAGGCGTACAGAACCATAGCCGGGTTCGAGTTCAGCGGAGGGTCGTGCTCCCAGCCAATCCGCCACATGTCGGAGCGGTAGAGATCGGGTTGCGCAATGCTCGTGAGAGCAAGGATGGGGATGACACCAGCCAGCTCAATAGGCATCAACCACCATGTCGCCTTTCTCGAGACAAAAGGCCATCTCCGATTGATGATGCGATAGGTCCTTCGGGTGGGCTCTTCGCCGCCCTTGGGCTCCTTGAGCTGCTTGGACGAGGAACGGGCGAGGAACTTCATATTGTCGAGGTGGGGTTGTCGAGTGAGTGAGTGAGTGTGCTAAGTTTCTTTTGCTGGCTCTTCCTGAGTGCTTGGCTCCTCTTGATTCTAGTGTCGATTCCACATCAGAGGTCGTCGCGCCGTCTATAATTAGGCCGTTTGTCAGGTTCGTTCACAGTCGTTGACCCGCAACCTGGTCACCAAGATCAAGCTGAGGAGTTGGAAGGGAAAAAGAGCTCTGGTCCGACGGCGCGGCAGGTTGGGGGCTGGCAAGCGTTTAAGGGCTGGCCGTCCAAGGTGGCCGGCAAAGAGGGAACCACCCATGCGCGGCCCCCCATGTGCCATGCTCTGTGAGAGGCTCTTGGTGCTGTGAGAGGCCACTGTGACGGGATACGACTGACCTGTGAGCGCTGGAGGAGCCGGCGTCTGGAGGCATTTCCATCTGTCCATCACTGCATCTCGACGAGGAGCATCAACGGCGTGTGCCAATCAGAGGCCGAATCTGCCATGATCTGCTCTGTTTAAGCGCCCGGGTGGGAACCCGGCGCCGATGGGGCCGCCCGATTGGCCTGCCCGGTGGCCGGACTGTCCTCGTCCAGCCAATGGCCATCCCGTGCTGCCGCTTCACCATGTGAATGCCGTGCGTTTGGGGAAACGCTGGCTTGCCCAGCGCCAGGGATTTGTTCCTTTGCTCTTCAAGAGCTTGCAGGTTGGTAGGTCCGGCCTGGTAAGAGATCGTGTTTGATTGCT